AGCAGGGGGTGTATTAATCATGGGTTACATTAGGAAAGGAGGCAAGGATGACAATCTTCTCTAGTCAGCAACCATCTTCACTCGTATAGTAGCCCTACCTGGGTCGTGGATAACCAAATCAAGACGAGCATGGAAAACACAATGGAAACTAGTGTGGAATATTGACTGGCGTATAGGAATCGTCTTTTTTTTTGGATGCGGTGGGTTGCCTTCTAATCTTAGACTTTTGAATCCTTGGCAGGTCATGAACTTGCCTGATCGATGGGTTACAGCCCCAGTCTGAGTCTTTGGCGTTTGTTGCAAAAAGTCGTTCGGAATCACGATCGAAGATAGATCTCAGATGCACAACGGCTCTGTATGGGTCGTATGTAATCACCAAGACAAAGAGTCACAGATGTGTTCGCAGGCATCAAACATGCAAAACTGACGGGCTCTTAGGCTGAGCCGTGAGCCGNNAGTGGATTTCGGACATTTCGGCCAATCGGATCGTTCCCAGAAGTACAGTTCTTGGTGTTTGCTGGCCTGTTTCATTGGCAGGCTCTTAGGCTGAGCCGTGAGCCGCATTTCAATATTTGCTTGCCGGACCCGTACTCAAGCAGAGAGAAAAGCATCCTGTCGCACAGTGCCCGTAGAGTAAGCATCCTCTTGTCAAGCATGGCTTCCCAGAGCCGCACTCTTCCTGTGATCGTGGCCTTCGCCTGCTGCGCCGCTGTGCTGCGCAGCTTCTGGGGGCCAAGCGAGCAGACTTTCGTGGCACCCCAGCAGAGCGTGCACCTCGGCTGCCAGGCTTTGTCTGGTGGTGCCCTGGCCTCCGGCAATGTGCCTGCGATTGTCAACACGGTGCCAGCCCGTCCCGGTGTCCCTGCGCACTTCAAGGTGACTCTGGAGACCCCTGATGGCACCCAGTCTTTTGAGTGCCCGGAGGACGTGTACGTCCTGGATCAGGCTGAGGAGGAGGGCTTGGAGCTGCCTTACTCCTGCCGCGCTGGCTCCTGCTCCAGCTGTGCCGGCAAGGTCCTGGAGGGCAGCATCGACCAGAGCGACCAGGCCTTCTTGGATGACGACCAGACCGGCGAGGGCTACTGCCTCACCTGCGTGACGTACGCCACCTCCGACGTCACCATCAAGACTCACTGCGAGGATGAGCTGTAGAGCTTTGGTGTGGGTGTGTGTGTGTGTATATCTGTTCAGTTATTAGGTATTGACTGTATCGTGTACAGTTTCTGTCACCGAGTTTTCACGGCTGGCCTACAGCCAAGACCAGCACCGATTTTCTTTGGCAAGGAAAAAGGGCACCGAAACGTTTGTGTGGATCATTCCGTCAATGTGTTGCACAGTGGATTTCGGACATTTCGGCCAACTGGATCGTTCCCAGAAGTACAGTTCTTGGTGTTTGCTGGCCTGTTTCATTGGCAGCAAAACACACAACTTATGTGCGCTTGCCGAGAGGACCCGGCAGGAGGTCGTCACAAGACGAAACATGATAACAGTGTGGATATTGCTCGGGACAGTACGGGTGGCAAGATAACTAGGGTTATTGAATGGCTTAGGGGGGTGATAAGTATACTTACTAAGTCCCCATGACCCCCCAAGTAATGTCTATAGATAGGACCTACATGAGCTATAGTCCAAACTCCTTAAAAGGGGGTTATATGGGGGATTACATACGGGAGTATAAAAAGTCCCTGACTCCCCAAGTATTTGCAATCATAACAGACATTTTGATCGGAGCCCTCTAAGCTGGTGGCAGCGGCCGAAGAATACCATTATTACTATTATTGCGATTATTATTGCTATTCTTGCTACTAGTACTATTATTGCTATTATTTGGATTCTTACTACTATTATTACATTGATCTTAACTATTACTACACCGACCTTTGATTTGTTTCTACTCTTGCTCGCCGCCGGCATTCATGAGTGCAAAGTGGCTTGAGCTGATTTATCCTAGCTAGCCACGGATGCCATTGTTCATAGAGTGATGAGACAGTAAAATTCAACTACACCCTAAACACTAAAGCTAACCCTGGATCTATAGCTTTCCATGTTCCTGCTGAGGGCTGATTCAGACCCACCAGCACATGCATGTTGACAAGATGCATCCTAATCATGCGCCTCGCATTGCTGGGAAAATCCCTGGCTGCAAACCCATCCCGAAATATCCCGAAACCTCTTAAACCTTAAGACGGCCTTGTACAAGATTAACTAGCCCCAGAATATACATGTCAAGACCCGTTCTAAACCCTAAGACCTTAAAATCTTTTAAAGCGCTTCCAGCGATGGCCACCTGAGCCCGGCGCGCAAAGTTCTTCGCGCATAGCTGGAAGGTGGATTGCTTGCATTCTAAGGAAATCTCCTTGTACCCTTAATTGTTTAGGGTTTAGGGTTTAGGGTGGGGATCAAAATTCTAAGGACCCTCCTTGTACCCTTAATTAGGGATATGGAACATAAAATGGAAGCTACTATACTGGAGAATCAAATAGAAAATGAAATGGACACTGGGGTTAAATACCAGGACCTTCCTTGTAGCCTTAATTGGGGATATATCGTCCCTAATAGTAGGTACTTAAGCCTTAATAGAGGGTAGGAGCAGGGTCGAGGTCTAAGGTGCTATTTACAGGGATTGTTGCTGGTACATGGGGATGCTAGATGTCAGGGTATCTAGCTCCCCAACATCACATGCAGCCCAAATGAAAGGGGCCCAATGACTACAGCCCTTTCAGGACAGGCCTACGTGGGGTTCCATGCTAGTTCGGGGTCTGCGGCAGAATTGGTGGTGAACCCTAAACCCTAAACCCTAAACCCTAAACCATTGTGGCCTTGACTTTGATGATCCCCCGACCCTAAACCCGAAATCCTAAACCCTAAGCCCTAAACCCTCAACCTTAAACCCTAAACCCTAAACAAAAAACCCTAAACCCTAATAAGTTGCAAACTTCACCTTCAATGTAAAATGCAATTAAGGGCATCCTCTTCGGAATGTTGGAATGAATCAAAGATCGCTGCCAGCCATCCAAACGAGCTAAGTCCAAACCCTAACCATAAATTCCAAGCCAGGGCCCTCAATCCAACTCTGTCCAATCCACTCATGGGATCTTAAGCCCCCCTAAACCCTAAACCCTAAACCCTAACCGCCTTATCCTAGGCCAAGCGCCTTTTATCGAACAGTTTTGTTTTGAAAGGGGGAAGGTTGGAACCAAGCTTTACCCTAAACCCTAAACCCTAAACAGGGTTTAGGGTTTAGGGTTATCACCCTACACCCTGCTGAGCCGCACACAGTTGACACTGAGCACCATGGCAGGCAGTTGCCAACAGTTGCCATGCAGGACCGAGCTCGCAACCCTAAACCTAGGGTTTAGGGTTTAGGGTAAAGCTTAACCCTGGATCAATGTAAGGGATCCAAAGTACTTTTTTAAGTATGAGATTCCTCATATCTATGTGAAAAGATCCCTTCTTCTTCCCAGGGTAATGTGGACTACATGAGCAGATCAGTGCCTGGGAGCTGGGCAGTTGAGCGTTTTTCCCATGAGCGCCCAGAGTCTTGGAACTCGGGGGCGGTTTAGGGTTTAGGGTTTAGGGTTTAAACCCTAAACCCAACACTTTAGAGGTGGTGAGAAGGAATGAGGGAATGCAATCACTATGTAACCCCTATATAACATTTAGGGTTTCGGGTTTAGCCCTTATGCCTTACTAACCCACAGTAGGTATGGGGTTTTATAAGGGTAATGGAAGAGAAATTGGACACTACCATGGTACAATGTGGTTTAAAGTGAGATTATACATAGGGATACGGAGACAAAAGACCCCTTAATGGGCTTCGTGGTTCTTCTAGAACTTCCTGCTTTTTCAAATACTGCACGCTCGTGAATCCACTTGTAGATACGTCTTTGGCTTGCCAGACCCTAAACCCTAAACCACGTAAACGAGTGCGTCCTTCCCTGATATTAAAATCCTCCCCCGCCCGACATTAGATATTCCCATTGTGGTGTTATATTATATTCGGATTATTTAATGCTAGTTGGGGGGAGGTTAATAGTAGGGGGATGGGATTACAGTGCGCATGAATGTCCGCGCAGGACCCCGCCAACCAGCATCCAGACGCTGAGGCACCGCCAAGCATTTGGCACAAACGGGGTGTACGATCATCGGGGCGTGCTTTTGAGAATAACAGTTTGGGGCTCATAGGGCGGTCCCTAGTTTGGAGATACCCCAAGTGTACCCTCTTGGCGTATACTCGATAAGTGTTGCAAATTGCAATTGTGCCGCTTGTTGGAGCGGCGGTAGTTGTAGTAGTGGTTGTAGCTGCGGCAGTAGGTATAGAAGAAGCCGTTGCAGGAGGGGAGGAGCAATAGGAGCTTTTTTCGTCACTATGTTGTTCCACTACACGGTGTTTGGTCCATCTGCAAGCTTAATCTTCATGCGATGCCAACAATCTGTACATGCCAGGAGAGGGATGGCAGCACAACAACAGCGGTCTGGATGCGGTATGGGGGTGATGAGCAAGGATGGTCAGCAGGGTGAATCTCATGCTGTCAGCGGTACTTGCCTACCTGAAAATACCAAATCATCTTCTGGAATCCTTTAGATTCTAGATTGAAGTTTGGACGGCACCAGTCTGGGTGGGGTTAGAGCCTAAACCTCAAATCCTTCTGCAGGTCTACAAGCCTTTGCAGCAGTCGCTGGTGGAAGATCAAGGTTCGCCTGTCAGCACGTGTATATGGATAGGGAATTACAGAGGTGTAGTTTAAGGTCCAGATTCAACTTCAACCCAGACCCACCAGCTAACTACCCTCTATAGAAACCAGTACTTGCAAACGAGACCTACATAGGGTCTGTTTAAACGTGGTTTGTTTGGGGGGGGTTCCCTGAAAAGCTGAAGGGATGAAAATTGCATTGAAGGCATCTCCTATGTAGCATCACGAAAAATTATGAGCCGTTTTAGGTTATAGGTTATATTGCGGCAACCAATATTTAGGGGTACCAGATGCGACCTCATTGTTGGAAATACTCATATACAGCTTCATATATCATAACTTCATATGTCACACATACTACTACGTGCTATATACTGCAACATGACACAATTTAATGATGTAATGTACTGTAGTATAGATGGGGCAAGACTGGAGAGGATTTTGCTCGTAGATCAGATTTTCGGAGATGCTATTCCTTGTATAGCTCGGATACTGCCCCGCTCAATAGCAGCTGCATGCTATTTCTGCTATAACTATAAAGAGCCGGTCAATGGGTGGGGGCAGGAACCAATCTATAATCTATACCCTAAACCCTAAATAGTGGCTTCCATTTTTATTTCAAATATCCCTACATAACCCCCATATCCCTACATAACCCCTATATAGTACCCTGAACCCTGAACCCTAAATCCCAAACCCTAAGCCCTTAAATCCTAAACCCTCAAACCCTTAAACCCTAAACCCTAAGCCCTAAAATCTACAGCACCGGTTCAGTTGAGCCTGGGTTGGTAGGGCTTGAAGACTCGATATCAAGGTGATGGCGGATACCAAAACTTATTAGGTTTAAGGTTTAGGGCTTAGGGTTCACGGTGGATGCAAAAAAATCATTAGGGTTTAGAGTTTAGGGTGGATACTAAAAATCATGAGGGTTTAGGGTTTAGGGTGGACACTAAAAATCATTAGGCTTTCGGGTTTAGGGTGGATACAAAAAATCCTGCATGACTTGACGTACCATGACGTAACATAAAACTTGGGAGGTTTGGTACTGCAGTATACTAAGGTCACGCAGGATTTTTTCGTATCGACAGTAAGGGCCCATGCTTACAAGGGCCCAGTGGTTTTTTTCCACCCTCAACCCTAAACCGCGCGTTGGGTCGCAAGGCTTCCCGGTGCACATGGACCTGAAATGGGCTTTTGGCGACCAAGGTTTGAGGGTTTAGGGTTCAGGGTTTGGGGTTTAGGATTTAAGCGTTTAGGGTTTGGGGCTTGGGGTTAAGCTAACCAAAGGCCAGTTATGACGCGGCAAAGTCATTTGTCGGTGTTCGTTCTTTGCGCTCTTGGTCTGCACTCGGAGCCTCTTGCATTACATCCCCTCCTCCCCCTCATCAGAACTCCGTCCTACATAATACTTGAGTAAAGCGTTGTTACGTCTGAACATTCCCAAAGGGTTAATTCGTG